TTTATATCGGGCACCGATTGTTGTCTTAACGCATGAACCTGCTGTGTACTTGCCATGTGGCCCCAGGAGCATAAGGACATAGTGAGACTAAGGGCCCCGATGCTAATGTTTCTATTCCAAGTGATCATTTATATTTCACTCCTGTGAGCGGTTATGGTAGGGGCCTCAGCTCACTGATGTGTCCAGAGGCGTTCACAACTTACTGTTAAAACAGCTCTAGCGGAGGGAAGGGGTGGGTCACTCAAATCTTTCAAGTGCTCAGGGCATCACAGGGTCTGAACCGGCCCCACATGCCCCCTATAGCACAGTGGGAGGCCGTGCCAACTATATACAAAAGCTTACCCGGGCTGAGATAACTTGTTCAACTGCATCACTCAGTCCTGGGATATTTGTCAGGGCACTGAATTTCAGTATGACGTCACCAATGACGATTGGTGTGACGCAAAATGTGGAGGTTCTGACCTCATTCTGCTTAACCTGTTGACAATAAAAAATACACATATACACATTAAAAAAAAAATAAAATAAATAAATAATAATTCTAATCTCACAAGATTTATGTAGACACTCCACTCATTTTACTGCCATTACTTACTCGTGTACGCTCGCCGCGGATCGGAAGGTCGTGGGTTCGCTTGCTGGCAAAGACAGACATTTTTAAACATGACCTAGGCTTCAAGGTCGACCCAGCCTTGAGTGAGGACCAGGGGCAGTCCAAGGAAGTAAAGGCGGCCGCGTGATGCTGACCACATCATCCTTCTTGTGCCGATTCGTCTATAAAAATACAGGTCTAGACCTATTTGCCTAATTAACTGACTTTTGATTAGTATGTCCCGTTTACAGATACATATATCAGTGAGATGTACCGTTTACAGATACATATATCAGTGAGATGTCCCGTTTACAGATACATATATCAGTGAGATGTCCCGTTTACAGATACATATATCAGTAAGATGTCCCGTTTACAGATACATATATATCAGTGAGATGTCCCGTTTACAGATACATATATCAGTAAGATGTCCCGTTTACAGATACATATATCAGTAGTTTGTCCCGTTTATAGATACATATATCAGTAGTATGTCCCGTTTATAGATACATATATCAGTAGTATGTCCCGTTTACAGATACATATATCAGTAGTATGTCCCGTTTACAGATACATATATCAGTAGTATGTCCCGTTTACAGATACATATATCAGTAGTATGTCCCGTTTACAGATACATATATCAGTAGTATGTCCCATTTACAGATACATATATCAGTAGTATGTCCCGTTTAAAGATACATATATCAGTGAGATGTCCCGTTTACAGATACATATATCAGTGAGATGTCCCGTTTACAGATACATATATCAGTAAGATGTCCCGTTTACAGATACATATATCAGTGAGATGTCCCGTTTACAGATACATATATCAGTGAGATGTCCCGTTTACATATACATATATCAGTAAGATGTCCCGTTTACAGATACATATATCAGTAAGATGTCCCGTTTACAGATACAAATATCAGTAGTATGTCCCGTTTATAGATACATATATCAGTAGTATGTCCCGTATACAGATAAATATATCAGTGAGATGTCCCGTTTACAGATACATATATCAGTAAGATGTCCCGTTTACAGATACATTTATCATTAGTATATCCCGTTTATAGATACATATATCAGTGAGATGTCCCGTTTACAAATACATAAATCAGTAAAATGTCACGTTTACAGAAACATATATCAGTAGTATGTCCCGTTTATAGATACAAATATTAGTTAGATGTCCCGTTTACAAATACATATTTAAGTAAGATGTCACGTTTACAGATACATATATCATTAGTACGTTCCCTTTGCAGATACATATAACAGTAAGATGTCCCGTTTACAGATACATATAACAGTGGGATGTCCCATTTACAAATACGTATATCAGTAAGATGTCACGTTTATAGATACATATATCAGTGAGATGTCCCGTTTACAGATACATATATCAGTGAGATGTCCCGTTTACAGATACATATATGAGTGAGATGTCCCGTTTACAGATACATATATGAGTGAGATGTCCCGTTTACAGATACATATATGAGTGAGATGTCCCGTTTACAGATACATATATCAGTGAGATGTCCCGTTTACAGATACATATATGAGTGAGATGTCACGTTTATAGATATATATATATGAGTAAGATGTCCCGTTTACAGCTCAGGATGTTTTGGTCACCCTATTCAATGTAAATAAGTAAGTAAATGACACTTTTCCATGACTTTAGGCGTAAAGGGCATATAGGGCTAGACCCATATTTAATAGATCAATCGGCACAAGATGGGTGATGTGGTCAGCGTCATGCCGGCCGCCTTTACATCTCGGGACGTCACCTGGTACCCACTCAAGGCTGGGTCTACCTGGGAGCCAAGGTCATTTTGGAAAAAAAAAGTCTGGCTCCGAATGGGTGCAAACCCACGACCTTCCAATCCGCAGGCTAGCGTCTAGCCGCTACGCCACGGTGACTCCCACCTAATCTAAAGGGAAAGTATAATGGTAGTGACTCAAAAAGGTAAAGATGGTGAAAGTAATTTTACTTTGGTGCTGACTCGAAAAATATACTGAGATTAGTATGGCTGTCTTGAGAGTGAGTGGAAAAGAAAAGTATAAGTGTGAACAACGATTTGGCTGTAACGTCGCTCTCATGACATCCGCCTAAATGAAACTCCGTCAGGGGCCAGATTTCCTGCCTCGTGCACTTTCCTAGCCAAGTTGTCACTTACCTTCTGTGTCTATCTTCGTGCTGGTCGGCCCCTGCCCCTCTTTCCTAGCACCATGCCTTCAGCTCGTTTAGGATGTAAGTAATTTTTGTTTTTGTTTTTTGGTTCCACTTTATCCTGAGAATCTGGCTTTATCATTTCAGTTCAAAAGCTCCAATTTGTTTTCTTTTTTGTCTGTCACATACATACACAGCGGCTAAAATCCGTATGTGCTAAAGGGCAAATGTAATGTAAACCCTCAAAATTGTAATCTTGATTACTTGATTCATTTCCTTGCTGGTGCTTATACATAGACTTTGAATGCTAATTGCAAAGTGAAACCATAAACTAGCAATGAATTTTTAGATTAGTTCTGCAACGGGCTGTAAAAACTAAAATTTGCTGTTATAAGGTGCACAGATACTGGAACACTTCGACAAAACTTACATCTCCGTAGTAATCGGTGAAAGCCATCTTGTCCTTCTTAACAACAACAGAGTCTCCTTGGCGGCTGACATAAGATCCATTATACTGGTCACTGCTATCAAACTTCAGGAACACCTGATGTGACACACAAAATCCTCATTAAAGAATGATATATATTCAGATGGATTCCATCCAGGGTATCGATGGATTCCATACAGGGTATCGAAATGAATACACAGGAAAGAAGGGAAAGATACCGTGTGGGTTCTAAGGCAAGCGAATGGCAGAACAAGCCCATTGAATCTTGACACGCATATATTAAAAAGTGGCTATTTAGGAGTTTGCCGAAATCAGATGTGGCTGACTCACTTCATCAAGCGCTTTTTAGTGAAAATGGCGACAGACTGAAGAGGGGGAAATCGTGGCTAGGTCGGGCAGAAGATGTTATTAGGCAAATATGCAGCCTAACCGACATCATACCTGGTACAGAATGGATACCTGTGCCTCAGGCGTTTATTTGTACATTTTCCTGTATTGTCACACTCAACAGGCGATGTAGAGAAGAGAATCCTGTTGCTGTTAATGCAGAGGTCAACGCTCTCATCGGTGAAAATTCAGACGGAGCAGATGCAATAATCTATACAGACGGATCCGTTATACGCCAAAGAAGAAGCGCATGGGCATTTACAGCACGCTCAGCGGGCAGAACAGTCAAAGAAGCCAACGGCGCCTTCTCCATGACAACCAGCAGCATGACGATGGAGGTGATGGCAGTGACGCAAGCGTTTGCCTGGCTTGAAACACAAAAATACACCCGTGTATGTACACTCAGTGATTCAATGAGTATGATCCGGAGGGCTCAGGCAGGTTCAGTGCGAAGACAATGGCTTGAATCATTACAGAAGTCCACTGTGCGTGGAGTCACCTTTATTTTTGTTCCGGGACACGCAGGCGTCGATGGAAATGAAAGAGCTGACAGGTTGGCTGGATCCGCTATCACTACCGACGGCCAGCCTATGGATCATGCTGATATTATCAATGCCCTCAGAGAAATGGGAAGGATAGAGGACTTTGGTGGCAGTGAATCCACATCACTCGCCAGAATGGCAGACTTGGGAATTAAGATCGGCACAGCAAAAAACGAGACGCACACCAGACACGCCAGAAGACTTGTTAATCAATATAGAACTGGTACTATTAGCCATCGGACGTTGGGGTTCACACTGAGGGGAGGATCTGAGCACCTATGGACATGTCCGGAGTGCAATGAGGATAACCCAACTAACTAACTAACTAAATAACAAGATGTGGCTGAAATGCGCTTATATCGCAACCCAGCCTGCCAACTGCCTTTTTAAAGGAGAATAAAGAAAGAAAGAAAGAAGAAGAAGAAGAAGAAGAAGAAGAAGAAGAAGAAGAAGAAGAAGAAGAAGAAGAAGAAGAAGAAGAAGAAGAAGAAGAAGAAGAAGAAGAAGAAGAAGAATAAAAAGAAGAAAATAATAATAATAATAATAATAATAATAATAATAATAATAATAATAATAATAATAATAATAATAATAAATAATAATAATAATAAGAAGAAGAAGAAGAAGAAGAAGAAGAACAAGAACAAGAACAAGAAGAACAAGAACAAGATGAAGAACAAGAAGAACAAGAAGAGGAAGAAGAGAATGAGGGGTTAGTGAAAAAGATGCTGATGAAAATGTTTTTACAGTCAGTACATGGTATGCCAGTTTGTACAGGTTTACAAATGCGTATGTTGGCGGGCATGCGTGTGTGAATGAACGATGTACAAAAAATGTCCTTACTGGTATTTCTCCGTCAAAATAGCTGAACACAGACGCCGTGAAGCAGAAATCCTCATACCGAATAATGTAGGGCGGCAGCTCCAGAGACACAAACAGTTCCCGGAACACGATCACCTGCAGAAAGAACATTACATAACATCATCATCATCATCATGTAGCAGGTCCTTTACAGAACGTCGCTCTCATCACAGTCTGCCTGTAAGAAACTCGGTCTCTTGCCAGTTCTCTCGCCTCATGAACTTTCACACTCAAGGAGTCACTTATATCCTGTGCCCATCTTCGTGTCGGTCAGTCCCTGCCCCTCCTTCCTGGTACCATGCCTTCTGCTATAATTTTTTTCCAATCCGTCTTGGCGCTTGATATCACCAAAATATTTCAGCTTTCGAGAAAGGATGCTGTTTATTAGCCAATCTTCCTACATACATAACATAAAATAACCCCTGATCCATAAGGGTCGTGGAAATGTATGATGGAAGCACTAGCACATAAAACCCGCCCTCTTCCTCTGTCTTCGGCTTGATGAATAAGTGTATGATACCTTAGTCTTGTTCATTTCTTGATGTTGTCATTCCAGGTTTTCTTGGCCCTTCTCTTCTTCGACTACCCCCCCCCCTCCCACGTCCTTTTCCTACCCCCTCCCACAATGTTCCTTGAAGTACAGTGTTTACAATAGAATCGTCTTACTACGTGCCCAAAGCAAGCTAGCTTGCGACGTTTCACCACTGCTAAGAGAGGCTCCTGATGTCCCGCAAATTTGTAAATTTTGTCTCTGACATATTTATCAGTTTTGTGTTCTAAATAACTAATTCTTAAAATGCGTCCGTAGCATTTACGTTCAAAAGCCTGAATCCTCCTTTCCATTTCCACAGTGAGACTCCAACTCCCACATCCGTAGAAGAAAATAGACGACACTCGTGATTTATAAATATTGACCTTTACTGCAATGCTAATTTTTCTCTTGCACATCGTTTTCCAAGAACACTACAACAGCATTGCAACAAAAATAGTCAGATTATCATTTATATTATTGTAAACAAAGACAATTTACTTTTTTAGGTAGGAAATTTGACGGTCAATTAAAACAAAGAAAGGAATTATGGCATGCATTGGCTAGGCATTAGACGCTTTGATAAGCCTGAAAAAAACTATGGAACTCTAAATGGTACAGTTCTTCTTCTTCTTTTTTTTTTTCGCATTCACCAGCTGTACACTCTGGTAGAAAGTTCTAGTTGTTCGTCCACCTCTGGACTGCAGTCCTGCTCCAGAACCGGAGTGTTGCGTGTGCATCAGTTTTACAGATCTGATTTACTTGAATGCAGACTGTTGGTTCCTTGCATCTCAAGCAGATGTACTCCAACTTCAAAGGAAGCGCCCAGTTAGTCGACTCTTATGACATGCTTTTGGCTAGGCAGTGGGTCTGTTCTCCTTTTTCCCACAATGGGCCCCGAAACCCACACGGGAATGAATAGTTGATAAACCAAGTTACGTATTTTCACCTCTAATGTTAGTTCAGTTTTAACTTCTGCCTGAGAAGGTTGGAGAATCACTAAAGATATGGAAGTTGATGATGACCTTTAATCCCCACTAGGACATCACACCGAGCGATCACCAACCGGTGACGTAAAGTGCAACCTTTCGGATGAGGATCACACAGTAACAGGTCATGGAAACACTATTCAAACCTGCTTCTTCTCTTTCTCCTCCTGCAGCAGCATTTGCTGCTGCTTCTTCTTGTTCTTTTTCTTCTTTCTTCTTCTTCTTCTTCTTTTTCTTCTTTTTCTTCTTTTTCTTCTTCTTCTTCTTCTTCTTCTTCTTCTTCTTCTTCTTCTTCTTCTTCTTCTTCTTCTTCTTCTTCTTCTTCTTCTTCTTCTTCTTTTTCTTCTTCTTCTTCTTCACCATTCCGAGCCCTTGAGGTTCACTGCTGCAGATATCACCCGCCTCCATTCATCTCTCTGGTTGGCCTTCTCTTTCCAGTTGTGTTTGCAGGTCAAATCAACCCATACGTAAGTTTATATAAGCGCCGCCGACACCAGTGGAGCTTTAAAAAAGAAGCGAAAAATTGCGTCCCATAATGGTATGACTCTTACAGTTTTGCTAAAGAAATAGAGCCAAGGCTAACTGTTTTTGACAAGTGCCTGAGAAAAATGAAGAATATGGGATACATTTGGAAGGAATGAAAAATAAGAGAAATGTCTGGACAACCACTTGTGATAACAGTTATAAGGCAAAAGATGGAGCTATATTAAACACATCGTCAGAGTAGAAACTAGCAGAGAATCATGAAACAGGCACTACAATGGGTGAAAAAAAGAATACCGCGGTCATCTCAGTGAAAATAGGCGGGAAAGCTGGCAGGAGACCGAGATGCTTTTCAGAGTGTCGGGACATAATATGAGCGTCGTTCTGCAAAGGACCTACTAAACGATGATGATGACGATAATGAAAATGACGATATTCTTCTTTCTCTTCTTCTTCTTCTTCTTCTTCTTCTTCTTCTTCTTCTTCTTCTTCTTCTTCTTCTTCTTCTTCTTCTTCTTCTTCTTCTTCTTCTTCTTCTTCTTCTTCTTCTTCTTCTTCTTCTTCTTCTTCTTTTTATTCTTCTTCTTCTTCTTCTTCTTTTTCTTCTTTTTTTTTCTTCTTCTTCTTTTCTTTACTTTTTCGTCTTAGCGTCGTTCACTGTCTGTATACTCCGGCGGAAAGTTCTGGTTGTTCGTCCACATCTGGACTTTGCTTTTGCTCCAGAACTTAAGCTTTGCGTGCACATGCATTTTACAGATCTGGTCATTTGTGTACAGACTGTTGGTTCTCACCTCTAGCTGGTGTACTCGAACTTCTGGAAAAAAAAAGATCCGTTATTAGTCGTTTTTCCCGACACACACGATAGGAGGCAATGGGTCTATTCTTCCCTTGCCCCTCTCCATCTCCTCTCGTAATAGAACCCTGGAACTTACATAGAGATGTTGATGATGATGATGTGGTGAGGATGATAAAGATGATGATGATTATAAAGATACTTACCTCGGCTTCATCTTTGCCAACGGACAATCCGTACTTTGGGTTGACACTGAAGACGCTGGCAAGGAAGGATGTTATTGTGTCTGGAGCAGTCAGCTGAATCACAATTTCACCATTGGAGCTGTATATTAAAGAGTTAAGCGGTGTTTTAATGCGCTTAGAAAAAGGGTGTTTTGAGGTGACAGAGTAAATTTCACTGGGTCTGGTTGTTAAGCAATTTCTCATATGGCTCTCTCTCTCTCTCTCTCTCTCTCTGTCCACCTCACGCTCTCTCTCTCTCTCTCTCTCTCTCTCTCTCTCTCTCTCTCTCTCTCTCTCTCTCTATGTCCATCTCTCTCTCTGTCCATCTCTCTTTCTGTCCATCTCTTGCTCTCTCCCTATCCATCTCTTTTTGTCCATCTCTCGCATGCGCTCTCTCTGTCTCGCTCTCTGTCCATCTCTCCCTATGTGTCCATCTCTCGCTCTCTCTGTCCATCTCTCGCTCTCTCTTTCTGTTCATCTCTCGTCTCGCTCTCTCTCTCTCCCTCTCTCTCTCTCTGTCCATCTCTCGGTCTCTCTGTCCATCTCTCGCTCTCTCTGTCAATCTCTCGCTCTCTCTTTCTGTTCATCTCTCGTCTCGCTCTCTCTCTCTGTTCATCTCTCGGTCTCTCTGCTTTAATGTTTGTTTCCACTACTCTCATACTATGTATTTTGCTGCAAGAGATCACTTTTGTCAGCGTGGCTCTGTGGTCTGCTTAAGGATTTCCAAAAATATTGGAATTTATTTGTAACGTTTCAATGGGGCTTTCCCTTAATCGTCATCTTTCGAGAAAACTAATTCTTATCTCACTTCACAGGAAACAAGGGACAAGAATCCCCCCCCCCCCCCCCCAATCCCCTCACCACCCTGCCTACAAAACAAAAGTGGTAAATACATGCAGTGATTCTCAGTTTTGACAGCTACAGAAAAGAACACAGCAAAAAAAGAGGCCTGCTCTCATATACACCTAGTCCTAAACGAAATATGAATTGAAATACCTTCCATCCACATATTCGACAAGTAACTACAAACACACCACCTACTGTTTTATTACAAGTAACTATACACCTAGTATCTTTAGTCGGAAAAATTAGGCATTCATCTATTATCTACAGCCTTTAAAAAGTAGCTATACGCCTGCTATCTACATTTCGTAAAAGTAACTACACACTTACTATCTACAATTTGTGACAGAAACTAGACACCTATTATCCACAGTTCATAAAAGTAAATAGTTACTTACCATCTATAGGTTTGAAAATTAACTATACAAATGATATCTACAAGTTTAAAAAGTAATTATACACATACTATCTGGAGGTTTAAAAGGTTCACTATCAATAGCATCTACAGTTTTAATAGGTGACTATACAATATTATCTGCAAATATAAAAGTTTACTATATAGTACTATCTACAGTTCGACAAGTAACTCTATACCTACTCTCTGGTTAGAAAATGTAACTGAACGCTTACAATCGATAGGTTGAACAACTGTGCACATAAAATTTAAATGCTGGAAAATGCACCTATTATTTACAGTTTTAAAAAAAAACACCACATACTCTGGTGGCAAGACATAAATGTCCCAAAGCCACGTTTCTGGAAAATATGTTCTCACTTTCTCAGCGGCAAGGAAGCCCTGCGGAGCACTGTTGGCTGCAGGAGCAGGAGCAGCATTATCCATCTTACCTCCTTTATCCATCATAGATAAAGGTGTTGCTAAGATAAAGAAGAAATAAACAACTCTTTAAAGAAGAAACACGGAAATGCGACCAATGATCATTGTTTACACAAAGCAATTCTGACTTTGCCCTCTGTCCCCCAGTAAAGCATAGACGCTTAAAACCAACTCATGCCAAGTCGTTCTATCCTTTGCTAATGCATGCAGCTTGTCCAGTGACGTCCCCATCTTTCTTACGCCCTCTCTAGCTTTATTAACTCTCTCTCTCTCACTCTCTCTTTCGCTCTATATGTGTGTGTGTGGTGTATGTATGTATGTGTGTGTTTGTGTGTGTGTGTGCGCTTGCGCGTGTTTTTCCTTGCTCTTATTTATCTGCGCCCTGTGGCCTCCAGTGTAAAGACACTCTAGTTCTGTTGTTCTCAGGTATCCAACGCCACCGTCTTTTCCTCACCTCTTGTTTTCTCGAACCTCAATATTTGTGATTCTATCATACCATTTCATTCAGCCTATTCTGCGCAGGCACCAGACAACAATGAATGTTTGTAGTTTAATTAGTAATTGTTTTGATTGTTCTCCATGTTTCCTTGCCATAAAACAGTAATGACCTGACAGTGCAATAATATACTCGTTTCAAAAATAATGTTAACACTTTCTATTGTGTTTGTGTTAACCTTGGCGTTGCTTATGTCTGATAGTCTTCACTTACTAGTGTTTTGATACAGAATGAGTTTTAACGAAATTTGCTTTTATAAACATAGGCGAGACAATCCTTACAGTGGCAGAGTGGTTGAAATGAAAAGCCACAATCCTTAAAACGAAATGTGTTCCGGTCTCTGGGATTAGTCGGGGCAGCGCCATATTGGGTGGTTTGAGTTTCTGGGGTTCCCCGTGTGGGTTCCCGGGCCCTACTATGGGAAAAACAAGAATAGACCCACTGCCTACCCAAAAGCATGTCGTAAGAGTCGACTAATTGGGAGCTTCCTTCGAAGTCGGAGTGCATCTGCCTGAGAGGCAATGAACCAACAGTCTGCATACAGATCTGTCAAACAAATGCACACGCAACACTCCGGTTCTGGAACAGGACTGCAGTCCAGAAGTGGACGAACAACCAGAACTTTCCACCGGAGTTTACAGTTGGTGAACGAGAAAAAGAAGAAGAAGAAGAAGTTTCCGCGTTGCAGGTTGTGGAAGACCATTATAAGCCAGTGTGAATTCACCTTCCAACTGCAACAGATCTCTAGTTGGATTTGGCAGGTTTCTGACGTTGTTGTCAAGCTATGGTTAAGTTCAGGTGAGACTGACGGCCATGGACGAAGGGCATTAATGTTGCACTGCAAAATAAATGCAGTGGGACTGGTGTTTGGTGAGGGGCTGCACTGCATGCATATAAGTACGTTATTGTCCGTTCGTTTGGAAAAATGGCACAACATGTGGTATTAGGTCTCTTCGTATGTAATGATGTGCACTGATGTGCACTGATGTCTGATCAACTAACCAGCAAACCAGTCAACTTACCAGCCAACCAGTTAACTAACCAGCCAACCAGTCAGTCAGCTAACCAGCAAACAGTCAACTAATCAAACAACCAGTCAATTAACCAACCAACCAGTCAATCAACCAACCAATCAATCAGAAAACCAATACAACAACCAATTAAATAACCAGCAAAGAATAGAACTAGCCAACCATTAAATAACCAACAATGCAAACCATTCAGTCAGCCAGCCCACCCAACGGCCAACCGGCCCGTCAATCAATCAACCAGACAGCCAACCTTTCGACCAATCAGCCAGCTATTCTACTGGCCAACCAACCAGACCACCCTGCCTCCACCCCCAACAAACTGACCAGCCAGCTAAACGAACAATCCCTCAGCCAGCTGATCAATCAACAAACAAACCTCAAGCCAATCGCCAATGAACAAACACTAAATCAAATTATTGTAATGATCAAGCATTCCTTAAATGTATTCTTTTGTGATGACAATAACTTACCATAGTAGGTTTCCTTGTAGAGTAATCCATCTGTAAACATGTGCATTCCGGCATTCTGGAGAAGAAAAATATATATTGTCATCATCATCGTCCTCGTCGTCTGCATCATCATCGTTGTCGTTGCTATCATTACCGTCATCGTCGTTCGTATCATCATCGTTGTCGTTGCCATCATTACCATCGTCGTCGTTCCTATCATCGTTGTCGTTGCTATCATTACCGTCATTGTCGTTCGTATCATCATCGTTGTCGTTGCCATCATTACCATCGTCGTCGTTCGTATCATCGTCGTTGTCATTGCCATCATCATCGTCGTCGTCATCAACGTAGCAATCATCATCATCGTCGTCGTCGTCATCTTCACAATTGTCGTCATCGTCATCACCATCATCGTCGTCGTCATCAACGTCACAATCATCATCATCGTCGTCATCATCGTCATCAATGTTACAATCATCATCATCGTCGTCATCATCACAATTGTCGTCATCGTCGTCATCGTCATCACCATCATCGTCGCCGTCATTATCACAATTGTCGCCATCATCATCATCGTCGCCGACGTAATCTTCGTCGTCGTCGTCATCATCATCATCAACGTCGCAATCATTATCGTCGTCGTCATTATCACAATTGTCGTCATCGTCGTCGTCGCCATTATCATCATCGTCGTTGTCGTCATCATCGTCCTCGTTGTTATCGTCATCATCATTGGGGACGTCGTCATCATTACTATCGTCGTCATCATCATCATCATCGACGTTATCATTATCATCATCATCGTCATCATAATAGCATGTCCTTTGTAGAACATCGTTCTCGCTACAATACACCTGCAATTCTGTCGGTCCCTTGTCAATTTTTTCACCTGCTGAGCTTTTATGTCTATGGTGTTTTGTCAGGCTGCGCCCACCTTTGTGCTGGTCAAACGTTAACTGGTGTTTCATGAACTATACCCTTCATTACTTCTTCTTTACCTGTCACATGAGCGGCTACTCTTCACTGTTCTTATATCAGGCACCATCTGAAGTGGCTGAGAAAATCGTCGCAATTGAATCAAATATCTCTTAGAGTCATCATTATTGTTGCGCGCTGATTTGGGCAATGTGTGATAGTGTGTGAAGGGACAGTGGTATGCCAGTACTTTCTGTAAGTTCACGGGGTGAATAGTGTCAACATGGTCCGAGTATTGAGAGGAGACCAGTGAGAATGTCTATTCATGAACAAAGTGTGCACGCACGAGAGAAAGTGGACGCGTGGGTTACTGTGAGGGGGGCTAAAAGCATGGCTAAGGACATAAACAGAGAAAGTGTGAATTAAGTGACAGCGTGATTCTCAGGTAACATCAGCCACCCGCATAAGTGTGATCATCGAGAACGCCCATATGAGCGTGAGTCTCGAGAACACCCACAAGATCATGATTCACGGGAACGCCCATACGAGCGTGCTTACCGTGTAGACATCATCCACCTATCGTGTTACGACTATCAGGCATTTAGGTCTGAGTGAGTGTCGAGGTTGCGGTACGGAAGAAGATATGGTCCCGCTGGCAAAGTAAGTCAAGGGGACAGAAGGCTCCAGTAGTACCTGTTCTGGGTGGCGACGTAGTGAAACGTAGGAGGACCACTACTGAAACAGAACAGAGGGGAGTGGTACCGACGAGAGCTGTGTGCTAGAGGTGACTTATGGTAGAAGTCCTGTCGGTCATCGGAGCCCTACGACAAGCTGACGACAGCTGTGTGTTTTCGGAGTACGGCCGGGAAAGTTCGTCTCCAGTCAGCCGTGTTATATGCTGAAATAATATCAAGGCCCAGGGAATGGGAGAAGTCGTCCTGTTCAGCTGTACGGCGCGTCCAGAGTGTGGGACGCTGTAGTCCTTGGAGCTGTAGTGGTCAAGGAGAGGTCGCTACAAATTGAGAGAGAGAGAGAGAGTGAGGACAAATGGACGATGTGCGAATGTCAACTGTGATCAATAACTACGTCTCTGCATTTGTGTCATGTATCCTGTTAAATAAAAATATATGACGGTGTCACCGTCGTCGAGTTCTGTTTCTAAGAGAGGAAGCTGAAGGGTACCTGCTAGACACCTGGTAGTGTGATGACTAGTGGTAACTCATTTAGCACACAACAATTATCATAGTCTCATAAGTCTCAAACACTAAACTACTTCAGGTCACAAACCAAGAAACTCTAGACAGTATGATAAACAAGAGAAGATGGAAATGGCTTGGCCACGTTAGGAAAATGAATCCTGATATACCTGCCAAAACAGCTCTCACGTAGATACCAGAGGGAAAGAGAAAAAAAAGGGGCGCCCAAATATAACATGGGGGCGAGCAATGAAAAGTGACCTGAGTGCGGCATCTTTGACATGGAAAACTGCACTGAAGATTGCATAGGACAGGAAAGCATGGAAAGTCGTCTCTGAAGCCTCGTGTGCCAGAACTGATGATGATGATAATGATGATGATAAGTGTGTTGCAGCCACATACCTCAAACACCTCAAACGCAGTCAATCCACTATTCATCAAAGGCCAGCCACAGATGAACATGTATCTGCCATAAGGAAAGAACCCACCAAAGGAAAATGCCGCTAGCTCATCGCGAACCTAAACAACACACAAGTGAAAGTACATAGTAGTTGGCACATACATTTAATCGGTCATGTCTAGCTATTAATATTCCGCTTGTCATTTCCAATCATACACATTTAAATATTGAAGTTTAACTAAAAACAATTGACTTTTTCTAGTCAGCATAATAAATTAAACTAATCACATTTAAACAGTCAGAGTCAACTGCTCATCCACAATATTTCAAATCCATCTGACTATCCACGCCCAGCTAGTCATATCGGACTATTCACATCCATATAGTCACATTCAGCTAGTCACATCCAGCTAGTCACATCCAGCTAGTCACATCCAGCTAGCCACATCCAGCTAGTCACACCCATCTAGTCACATCCAGCTAGTCACATCCAACTGGCCACATCCAACTAGCCCCATCCAGCCAGTTATATCAAGCTAG